GCGGCTTAAAAAGCGGACGTGTCGTTCAGAATCGTCTAGCTCGTTATTTAGAGCAGTTTCAAGAAAGAACTATAGTCCATGTTGACCGGTCTGGAGGAGGATTATAGAACTGTGTTTGAATAGGTTTCTTAATGAGTTTCATTCTATTTGGACTTCATTGTTGTAGGGAACTTGGAATATTATGATATGAAGTGTACTTTTCTTGGCTATATTTCTTATGGTGAATGCTTAAATATTTTTTTTCAGTTTTATATTGGCACTTTAGTGGTTTAAATCCTTATGAAAACTTTGCTGCAGAGAGAAAATTTTCTGTATTTTGATTTTTTTAGCTTTAAGTTAGGCGTGTCATTACACAGCTTTATTTTTAGGCTGCTGCAGCCTAATCTAGTCTAATTATGTTTCACACGACTAGTTGCTCATAATATTGTTGTACTCACAATGTTACTACGACTCAGAAGTAGTTTTAGGGTTATTGGAGTTTGTTAACTTTTGAGTACTGCTATAATTTATTTATTAGAAGACCGCTTTTTTTTGCGGGTCAAGCTGTCTTTGCGACAAAGTTTTACCCAAAAAGTTTCCTTGAAAATTAAAATTTTTTAAACTATTGTTCAAACTTTTTCAGGCCCAGATATAAAATTTGATGTCTTTCACCAATCTTCACAATGCTTTAGTCAAAAAATGTTTAACGTAGGTCAAGATTTTTTGATTTTGCTTTTTCTCAAGCTTCTCAGTACTTGTAAATAGTTGTTTTATGCGGCTAATGCAATTTATTGGTATCACTTGCTTTGTTGGTGTAATAATATTTTATGTAGTGTTTCTTAATGGTTTTTCAGAGATCCAGTTTGGTGAAAAATTAACATATCACCAGCAAAGTCGAGTTTGCAATTAGTTTGGAATGTATAATTAAGTTTCCTTTGCTGCTGGATTTTGTCCATAACCTAATTATTTTTCCTCCTTTATTTTATTTTATTTCATTTTATTTATTTATTTATTTTTTTTTGTATTTCCATCATTTTCAGTGCCATTTCCTCTCACGTTAACTTACTTGGCTAAAAAAATGAAAACGTAAAAGAGATTTTGTAAAATTGATCATGCTAGTGTAGAATTTATTTCAAATTATGTACATAAGTTATTCAAGATTTATGGTGCAATTTTTGTTTTGTTCTTTTTCTTTCTTGGCTGCAATAAACCACTCCTATTCTGTCCTGTTCGGCGTGCCGGCGGCATCGAAATTTCTCGTCTAGGACATGATTCTCAAGAAATACGAGTAGGGAACATTTCGTGAATCTAATTTGCCAGTCACTGAGTGTTTCGTAGTTTGCCGGCGAAGTTGGTTTTCCTTGTGCTTCTGGCCTTCCAAAAGAGTTGTTTTATATGCTGTATGTCGCCGGTGTAGTAAGAAAGGTTTGGTGCAGACATAAAAGCGAGTATTCGAAAGAGGCTAGTGTTGTTGCAGCCAGCTTGTTTCGCTTTCCGGTAGTAGAATTGGTTGGAGGAGCCGTGCGATATATAGTTGTCTTTTTTATGTTGGGGTTGCACGAAACTGGTTAGGGGATGTAGCAGTCGTACTGCTTGAAAGTTTTTGCCTGCTGTTGTTGTTTTGAAATCTTTGTTGCCGTCTGGTTTTCAAAAAGTTACCATATTTGAGTGCCAGTCTAAACGTATAAACGTCTGTTGTTTAGTGGTGAAGGAGCCAGTAGAGTTCAAGAAAAGATGAGGAAAATAATGGAGGATTTGAAAGCAATAGGGATTGAAACCACTGAACAGCATGAATAAACAGCCAAATTTACTTGTTTGTCTTAATTCTCTATAAGTGATTTTTATCGTCGTTGCTTTGTTCTGCACCTCTTTTCTGTTGTTGTTGTTGTTGTTGTTGTTTGGCTATAATGACGATAATGATGAAAAGTGAGTGCTGGTATTTCCGAAAAACAAAAAAAAAAAAAAAAAAAAA